TGCTATCTAGCTGCGCCAAACCGACATCACTGGAACCCCGAGGAGTATACATCTCTGAACAGTATATAACATATCTTTATCTCACAAAACCTCGAGAAATTAGCTAATATTGGAAGGTAAGTTTTCCTTGCAAATCCAAAACTAAGATACCTACAAGAATTTCATTTCCGACAACTACCGATCACAGCAACCGACCGCTATAATTCTCCTCGAGACAGCGACTGAATTCGACTGACAAGTCAGTGTCGAAATACCTGCCAAAATCCTCGAACCTAGGACCTCCCGGTCGAAAGGACTGGAGTGCCATCAGTTGACGCCCCGAGCCATCTTTCCTGGTGCGCCAAAGCTACTCCCCCACTCACTCACAATTAAGATTTGAATGGTGGGACGATGCAAAACGCGCTCGCCGATTCACCTCCGGTTCCCTGACACGGGATTAAAACATAACAGAGCGCGCTATTTGTGCGCTGCGCGTAGGCGACGCAGCGACCGCCGCTCCGTTTGCGCTCTGATGGATGGACCGCTGGGGGGAGGGGGAGGGAGGACGCAGATGGATGTCAGCCAGAGCCGAATAATTTACCTGCCTCAATTTTCTACCGAACGACTGCGCGCCGCGCTACGCATCGCCAGCGCGCGGCTGCGTCGCGCCCGTCAGCGTTCCTCTGCGTAAACACTTTCTTCGCGGACGCCGCGCCGCGTCGGCAGGACGCTGAGCGCTGGGCGTTGGTCTTGCGGCGCCGGCCGTGTAATTGATCACGGATGCGAAAAGTTATTTTTACTTACAGCTACAGAACTGTAGCAGCTACGGAACTGCTTCAGCTACGGAACTGTACAGTACGGAACGTACAGCTACGAAGTACAGCACGGACGTACAGGTACGCGAACTGCACAGCTCGTACTCGCCACAGCTACGAATGTACAGAGAACTGTACAGCTACGGAACTGTACAGCTACGAACTGTACAGCTAACCCGGAACTGTATAGCTACAGGACTGTACAGCTACAGAAACTTACAGCTCCGACTGCACAGGCACCACCGGACAACTGTATCTGAAACTTACCAGAACTGTACAGCCAACAGAAGCTTGTACAGCTACAGAAGACGCTAAGAACTACAGCTTACAGAAACTGTACAGCTACGAACTGGTACAGCTACAGAAACTGTACAGCTACAGAACTGTACAGCTACAGAACTGTACAGCTACAGAACCGTACAGCTACAGAACTGTACAGCTACAGAACTGTACAGCTACAGAACTACACTTAATCTTCTAGTTACATATATGTGACAACATTTCTGGTCAACTCGTATTTGTAGTTTTTTGCACTATTTTGCAAATTATATTTCTTCAATTGACAGAGAAATTCTAAATGAAACATATAAGCAAGTTTTTTAATTATTGAACGCCAGATGTCGATTTAGCCGTGATCCCTAAGGCACAGTACATTCCTGACCAGGGTGTACGCATGACTTAAGTCAGTTTGAATCTTCATCTAAAACCGTGCTTAGCTGCTATATGCCTTTGCTTAAGTCGGAAGGAGAAGCCGGTGAAACGGGGATTGGCCCGCGACGAAGTTGAAAAGGCATATGCAGCTAAGTTCTCAAAAAATAAAGCATTTAAATTAAAACCTTTCTGGTTTTAATGTGGTAGGGAATGCGAACTGCAAATGTAACATTTGTGAAATTAAGAAGACCCCCTGTCTCAAGCATGCAAAGTTAAATCCTACGACAGTTCCCTCTGCAATAACGAAAAATATCCTGGTCAATTCCAAGCAAAGCAGTCATGTATACAATTATTCTAATTTACTGAGGTTTTTGAGAAGTCATTACAGCACTATCATATTTTATATTATGTTTTATTTTTAGTAGTTCGTCTTGGATTAAGATTCACTACAATAATCAGGTACCTCAAGCACTTCCAAGTCTTGATAACGAACGCACAGGTCACAACAATGATTCTGTTTCCTCACCTGTTTATCAAATGTCGAGCAAGATTACTGAGAATCTCGTCCACGTCTCACCATGTACCTGTTGCCGGGTTTTGGCGTATCGCTCACGTATTTCAACCGTCTGAAATGATATGGGCACTTGAAGCTTCCAGAACATTTTGTACACGCTCATTTGATTGGGCGATTTGTGTCCCACTCCTATCATTAAACCCGGTGTACGAGCTTTTCCTGCACTGAGAGCATGCCAATATTTCAGAGTTGAAACATTTTCTTAGCGTACGGGTTGCCGGATGTCACATACAAATTTCTTGCGTTACGAAACTTTAAAGTTCTAGTTAAGGCAATCACGACAATCGTACACGTTTTCATGCGATATTATAAGTAGTATCTCTTTAATAATATAAAAGTAACTTATGTAGGTCGTGTGAACTGTGCAAACCAATTCCATTAGGCTGATCAGTGGTATATGTCCCGTTTCGCGGGTCCGCCTCCTCGTATGCACCTCGACGTCTACCAGGCTGATAGTTCGATATTTCGCCAAACCTTCGCTAGCCAGACCATCTTTGTAAAGTGTCATATGTATTCTCTTGCAGGAGCCGAGATAAACAATTGTGAATAAATATTCTTTCGTTTTGATCGCATGTATGTCTATGTTGTACGAAAGGTTCTACAATTCGATTTTAGCCACCCTACTAAAATATATTAGGGTTTCTGCTGTATGTGCGAAATTACGTTTCCAAACAGTTCACTCTTTGATTATCTATCGCTTTACACTAAACATATTTCATATTTACTAGACAGGGTCGAATAATTAATATTTGCACAATGATAGCAGAGGGCGGGTTTGTAAGCCAAACTCTATCACGCACAAAACCGAAGCAGCACAAATAGAAATTCCTATTGTCATTTTCGTCTGAGTAACTGTCCAGTTCTGGTTCCATACATCATTGTTTTCTAGTTGTTGATGTGTGTCACATTCTCCGATGTTTATATTGTGATTAATTCCCAATAGTTCTGCTATCTAGTATTAAAATCAATTGGTTTGAAATACATTCCATTATATTTTACGCTAAACAAATCATATAAAAAGAGCATGCAGCTTTGATGTAAAAATAGCTGGTATCGAAAAAGTATGAATGTATCTCTAAAATTCAATCACTAACATACTCATACAATAGACATAAAACAATGCAAGATATCAATGCAAGAAGGTGGTTACATTTTGATACCGCATTTGATACTATATTACATTGACGGAATATGCCGCATCTTCATCGGAGTTTGACATGACGAGAAGATCCGATAAGTTGTATTTCACTACAGTTTACAGTGACACTTTGTAGTGAACCTTACAAAGACGTTTGCTGATGAAACTATTTGAAAAAACTGAGGATATTTGATGTACTTTTGAGATGCTTTTAGCATGAGGAATTTGCATTATGAGCTGTAGTTCTTGAAATATTTTCTGATCACGAAAACGTACTAAATTGTTTATGTTTTACAAGTCATAATTTCCCAAATCCAATAAAGAAAATGGAAGGAGACAACAATCTGGTGAAGCGCATTAATCTTCATTAGTTGTTTTAGAAAAGGCACACCAAAATTTGTCTATTTAACAACGGCCGAGAACAACATTTCCGGATTACATCAAAATATTACTAATTCTAAATGCTCGCAGAAATTGAAAGAAAACTACGTTGCCTCTGGATGTGTCAGAGGTGTCTACGGTGTCGTTATAATCACAGGAAGTTGGGAAAAATTAAAAAAAAAACACAATCAAACAATTTTGATTTAGAGTGAAAATATTTAATTTTGTTATTTCGACTATTCTTATTCAGTTACCAATTAATTATCATACTCAGTTTGTATCCAGCTTACGAAAGAGCTGGTGTCACACTATAGCAAAGCGTGAAGAAAGAGGCAGTCAGATATGTTATTTACTTGTTGCATTATGAAACAGAAACTTTTTATTCTCTATTGTGTAACCACATATACTATACTAAGTTATTGCAGTAATCGTAAAAACTGTTTTTGTTAAAATATTCAATTTATTGCAGTTTTATACGAGCAGATTTATCTGGGCTTGAGCAGTGTGTTTGCTGATTTTTGGAAAACAATTTTTGTGGTTTTTTCCAGCAGCATTTTTGCAGGTGCAGCTCACGTATGAAACGCAACATAACTTTCTAATCAATAAATTTTCCCATTACCAAATCTCTAACAGAAGTTCTGATGCAATCCCGGCTGACAAACATTGGTGTTCTAAAATTGTCACTGACAAATTATTGTAGCGTCAATTTGGACAAGGTAAACATATCAACTGAGTATTTACTCCATTATCCCGTTTCAACTCCAACAAGGCAAGGCTTCATTAATATTCCAACGGCAATACCAGGGGGTGCGAGTGATTTAACCTCTTATTCAACGATTAGGAAGGTCGAGAGGCGTGATTTGCATACGCAAGAAACAAAGATCACTCCCACACCGCACCCCGCCGGGGCGGCACAGTGACAGCGCACCGCACCCAGGCCATTGCCCTCCTCCACCCCACGGCCGGGTACTTAAGCCCCTCGGCTCGTCCGACCCCGCGTAGTCGTTTTGTGGCTTCCATCTAGCAGGTAAGGAACGGCTCAACTTAAATTTCTATGTTTTTCTGTATAAAAATAATTTTTACGTGTCCTATTTCTATTTTCATTCGCTTTTCTTTAGTATTAATGGCTTAACCCCCCCCACCTTTTCTTTCTCCCGTTGTCAAATATATTTTCCAAAAAATTTGTAAATTATTTGTAACCTTTATCATAATCTTGTTGTTAATTCACGTTTTAATGTTTTGTTGTTTTGTTTTTTCTTCTTCTTGTATCAGACAACTGATGATGATGGCTAAGCCATCGAAAGCTGCTATTGCATTAAAAAATATTGTTGGCAATGACAACATCTTTAATTATTTTAAAAATGCCAAAGATATCACACCACAACACCTATAAAGATCACACTCTCCAAGCAGAGGAGGCTCAGGGAGCGGGGCGCTGGCGAGCGGGTCGGCGCACACTCACCGACGATCGTGGCGAAGATGAAGACGCCGATGAGGTAGCTCACGATGGTGAACACGTATCTGCAACAGGAATAGAGCGGTCGAGCAACGGGACGGCACGGAGCGGGCAGCACCGCACCATGGATTGTCGGGGATCCCCCGGGAAGGAAACAACACTTTTAAATCACTATTGATTTTTATTATTTTTTGTTATTATTATATGTCATTGATATAATTTCAATAAATAATATTTCAAATTCACTACATAATTTCATTTCAATAAACACCCAAAAACGTACATAACTGCAAAGAAATCGTTAAATAACGAAAGTATTTTGTAAATTACTGAAATCAAAAATTTTCACATTTCCAAAAATGTCCAGCTGTTCTGAAATATGGATTATAGACAATGGCAAGGCGTATCTACTGATCAAGAGTATCTATTAACAGAGGCAGAGGTGAAGTATGCTGACAACGTTGAGAGAAGCTACAATAAATGTGGAGTGAAGTAATACACATTTGAAAACAAGCTGTTGAGGTTCGAGAATTTAGGCAAGATGACCATAAGGTTGGGTGAGGAGGACTGAAGGATTGAAGGATTGAAGGAGATATAGTACTACCTGGAACGATGGCCTTTGATGAAGGCTTGAACGAACTAGGAATGATGTTTTGTGTTTCAATATTCTGGTTATATTGAAGGATTTAAAACAGTTGGAAGAGTTGACAATCACTGGACGTTTATTTCAAAAAATAGAACGGAAGGCAAACATTACAACGTTTTCTGTTGTGACAAATATTATTTTTCTCTTCTTTTATGATACAACCACATTGAATATGTAGTTTTAGAAAAACTACGTCTGTCTTCGTAATGGCCCTTAAATAATGACACTGCCATACTTGGGTACAAATAAGTATTCACAAACAGAACAGCTTAAAATAATATTTTCCAGTTAGTTACTTAAATTGTGTACAAATACAATTATTATTTGCCTATCGGCCATTTCTCACTATGCTTCACGTTCTCTTCGGAGCCCAGTCCCGTTCTGTCTCGAAGAGAGATTAACGTGTGTTATTATGGGGAGCAGCTTTTCGGATGTACCCCTTCGTAAGATACGGTTGTGAAAAATCGAATTATGATTAAGATGAGAGATCACCATTGCCTTTTTGAACCATCCCAGCATTTGTCTGTTTGTCTATGGAAAACCACGGAAACCCCGGTCAAGATAGTCGGCCCGGGGATCAATCTCCAGGCCTCCCAACAGCGAAGTCAGCGTGCTACGCCCTGAGGCTCTTCGTTCGGTTCATAATAATAATAATAACAATAATAATAATTACTATTATTATTGTTTTCATAATTATTAATATTTTGTAATAGATAAGTACTTATTTTTTGTCTGTATTGTTTTCATTGCATCTCAACATTTTTATATTTCTTAGATATTGTAGGCTAATGGTCCTTTGATTTGGTGCCCTTGTTATATCACATTTATCCAACATTATAGTGTTTCTAAAACACAAAAAGAACCTAGTTTCTACACTGCACGCATATGAAACTGTAACGATTTCACATGTTAAAATGTCGATTCCATAGATTGTTTTTAGTTATTGGCCTTACGAACAAATTCACATATTCGCTTTTCGGCGCTGGAACACAGAGTGCAATACCGAAATGAAAAGTAAAGACAAGTGAAAACGTCTTCAATATTTGTTTCCATTTCTTGCCGTTTTTATTATTGTTTCTGCTTCTGTATCTGTTGGTTAGAAATCGAATTCTTTCGGATTCTTATAACAAACACGAGTTAGTTTTTTTAATGTTGAATAACATCTAATTTTTTTGTTTGGAATATTTATTTAGAATACAATAGGCGACTTATTTGATAATGTAAACACAAATAAAACCCACATTTGCGTCATTGAACTTTCGATGCACCGCTGGGGGCAACATTTATAACTGCGAAAACTAAATTGTATGTTTTATATTATTAAGCAAGTATTAGCGTGTGATCCAGAAATCGTTTATTTTTGGAACCCTAACAATAAATTCATTATTTCAGTATAATTAGAAACGTTCAAGTAGAGTGTGCACATTTTCATTAAATATACTGCAAAAAATGAGATTTCGAAGAGAAAATGGAATTATGATGCGTTTGTAATTACAATGTTTAAATAATTTTTACATTATTCAAATTTCTTTGGAGGAAAATACCAATATAAAAATTAACTTATTAACAGAAACAATAATAGAAAGGTAAAACAAACAAAAATATTTAGATTTGTTGAAGCTTAATTTGGCTCGTACTCTTTTCCTAGAATGTCGAACTTCAGACAGTAATATTACTTTTCATATTTTCTCGACGCTCGTGATTCATTTGTTGCGTATGGGATCACATGAACTTTTGCACGCAGTAATAAGAGCATTTGAATAAGAGAATACTAATGGATGTCAGGTTATCTCATTAAAAGTTCGTGACTCTGACACAAGGCCTGGAGTACATTTACTAGCTATAAGGAAACCATTGTATGGACTCTTTTTTTTAGATTATGATTTTAGAAAACCACTCTATCGTTTTAATTTATCCGTTCTAGTTCAGTTAATGTATCTTGAGCTTTAATAGTTATTTATTATTTGATATTCTTTTTTCCAATAATTAGTAATATTAGGTTCACATGAACGTAATGATACTGGATTAAACAACTGTGTTTTCTAATTGTATACTATTACATGACGAATAGATTCAACTAATTAATTTGGTATAATAAATTCATTTTCTAATGCATGTTCGTATCATTCATTACTAAGCAAATAAACAAATCTTCGTTGGTACCTCATTTACTCTTTGTGCCATGGGTTCAAACTCATTGTTTTAATGATGGGCGCGAGTCTATTAAGAGGGCTCAATCAAATTTAGGTTAAACTCACAGAAAGTAAGAGCTCTGTATTAAATTGCACGAAAGCTTAATTTAAATGAACATTGTAAACGAGATTGTTTTTGTTGGAGGTTTTTTCAGCACACAGACTGAAATCAATAAGGGTGCCGCTTCCAGGCCAGATGGTCTGGGAGCCTGTATATTGCGTCATCTCTAGAGCAGTTGTAAATGTAGCCTCACAACGATCAAGTGAATTTATTTATTTACTGACATTCAAACTGATAATAAAAGCATGTGAAGGAGACTGATAATAGTTTTACATTGACTGCTGAGAAGTAAAGAAAAGGAACCATCTCATATTTACAGTGCAGATCGTTCGGAAACTGAGCGAGACACTCCTGTTCTACGGGAAATTACAAGTATGATATTTTCCCTATAACAATTAATGAACATTTATCAACACTTTAGAAGAGAGAAAATCTATCTTGTGTCTAAGCAGTTTTTACACCAATTGTATTCACTGAACATGGTACTACATTGACTTCTTTCCTGGTAATTTTACCATTAGTAAAACTTGAAGGCGGATTTAGTTTTTTGACAGTGTACATCAACGTTTAGCGCTTGTTAAATTTACTCAATATTTTACCAACATGGGAGAGACTTTATAAAATGTTGTTTTGCTGCCAATATGGCCAAAGGTATATAACTAATTATTAAAGACAAAGAATCTTTCATTTGTCGTCAATATGAAACTGATTAAACTATTTTTTTAGGTTCGTAAGTTTTCAAGCAATTACAGGAATTTTAATCTTTGTGTAATAGACTCATTGTAGAAAATACTGAATTTTTTATAAGGAACCCAGCAATCCTTGCTTTACTGAAATCATGACAGGCTGTATTTTTGTGAAATTAGACTGCAAGATGGTAATTTTTATTATATATTAGTATAGATACGCCCTAATTCCGTGGTCATATTAAAAGAAACCAGTTAATCTGGCAATGGCCATAAAACCTTTACAATACCATGTTTTTGTAAAACAACAACCAAATATTCCTGAATAACGTTTTTGTGATATAGCTGTTTCAACTTAAAGAAAAATATTAAATTTCATAATGATGCTGTTAACTTGTCCAAATGTTGAAATATATATTCAGGAAAATTTAGGCGCTTAACGTGACCATATTATCTTCACATGCTTTACAAACGCTGTTGGTTTTGAAAATCATAGGTGAGAAAGCAGGGTCAATTGCATGATCCCGGTCTCATATAAGAATATTATTTGTTACACGATTTTTGTTTAGCGAAAAGTACTATTAACCGCGTTATACACTTAGATTAACATGTAACAATTTCAAGATTATTGAAAAGTTGGAAGATCATGTAAACATTTTCTAAAATGTTAGTCACAAACTGTGCCCAGGCGCGGAAAACAATGGTTGAGGGGAATCGAAAAGTAGAAATCGTTGTTTTATTATACACAAAATAATCCAAAAGTACATAAAAACTACTGATAACCTTCAAATAGAGACTGTTTCAGTTACACACCATATGCAGATCTTAACCGTGATTTTGGTTCAGAATCCTTCTTTTGAGAAACGAGGTAGATATGAATTCAGTCCACATTTTAATTTCGAGTCTTCTTTAACTGACTGGTATAATCTCATATTTGCCCTCTCAAAATTATCCGCGAGTGGCTTCCTCGTCGTGTTTTTCTTTCGCAAGTTTATTCAGCGCCACCCTATACTCGTGCGTATCATGTTTGAGGGCAGCCGGATTGCGGCGCGCAGTGGGATCCAGTCGGCCACTCGAGTCCTCCACCTGCTGGCGAGCGTCCAGCGGGACGGCGCGCGGCGCGTTTGGTCGGACGCGAATCCGTCCTCGCCGAGCGCTCTGTGGGAATGGACGGGCGCCCTTTGCGCTCTCTCCCCTCTCCTCTTCTCCTCCCTGCCCACCTTTCCTCCCCGTCCTCCTTCTCCTCCTCCTTCACTGACCCTCCTCTTCTCCCCCACTACTTCCTTCTTCACACCTCCTCCCCCATCCACCTCTTCCCTCGTGCTCCCTTCCAACCATTATTCTCCTCCTCCCCTCCATCCTTTTCTCCCTCTCCTCTCCCCCTCCCCTTCCCCCCCTCCCACCCGGAGCGCGGGTGTCCGCCGGTGGTTTAAATAGTGCGCGCCGCGGCTTGACCGCGCCCTTGCGCCCGCGCCCGCCT